GAAGGAGGAGGGGGCGGGGCCGGGGGAGGGGCCGATCGCCCCTGGGATCAGAACCCAAGGGGCTCGGGGCGCGTGTGTTTCCGGCTGCTGTGGCGGCCTCGCGCTCCCGCACCAACAGAGCCCGAGGAGGGGGAAATTTGGGAGTGCGAGCGTCTGAAGACGGCTCCCTGCCGGCTGAGTCCCGCTTCTCTTACCCCTTCGGTTGTGGGGAGAAGGCCAATCTAACAGGGCTAGGAGTGGGAGGAAGACAGAGGAGGTTCTGGGCCTCATTACAAACGATGGGGGAAGCGGGGGGTGACGCTGTGGGATGTCAGGGATCACACTTGAGGAACAGCAAGGGCTGAGAAGGGGAAGAATGTGAGGCAGCCTGGCTGAGGTTGCTGTCGGTCAGAAATGCAAAATCAATATACCGGATTAACGTGAGACTGACTTCAGGAGCACAGACCCTAAAGATCAGGGGGAAACAAAAAAGACTAATCAGCTTTACTGATCGGAATAATTTCTCTGACAGTATAAAGATGGAAAGGTATGGGACAAACAGGTGGAAGGAACCTCTCTTATTAAAGAAATGAAACCTGGAATTCAGTGAAGACCCACAGGCAGCGAAGACTGTGTGGCTCAGTTATGTGGCACGTGTGTGCAGTTCCAGACATTGGAAATCGTAGAGCAGCTGTGATTCCTGTGGTACTGGACATATGGAACTTCTCACAGACATCTGAGATTACACTTGGGCAGGAGTCAACCTAAGGTCTACCCTCTGCTATCACGAATAACTTAGTAAGGACAGGAATACAGTGAAATATCAGTTGTTGCAAATAAACAAACCCCTCCCCAGTTGGGGATTGACGACGCCTTCACTTTCATCCTACTCCATCCCATTTTGGGAAAATGGACAGATATGTGTATTAAAAAGTAAGTGTCTTGCTTAGATCACTTCCTGGTAAAACCAAACCGTAGACGGTTGCTAGCAGAATAAATTTCAAAATAATTTACCTTGGGCGGAAATGTGGCCTCTACCTTCTCATCAGTCTTCTATTTTATCCCCTTCGGAACCCAACCCCAGTGCAAGTGGCCAATCTTGCTTTTACTTTGCTGCTTCCATAACTGTGCTTATCCCGTTCCTTCCTGCATAGCATCCTCCGCCCAACAGCCCCATTTACTAGGTGAAATTGTTTTTGACTCTTGATGTTCTCTTATCATACTTGTCTCAGCTCAGATGCTTAAATTCCTCTGTAAACACACCCTAGATTTTCCCCTAACCAGAATGAACTACTTCGGCACTCTATGATTTATGTCTATATTCAGCCTCAGCTCATTGGTTTTACACTTAATATTTTCCCTGGCTGACTCCTGTGCTCTATTCAAAGCGCCTTCATGTCATGGGCATTCACTCAGCCTCCCCCCACCCCGATAAGGGCTGTACCTGTGTTTGAAATGAGTTGAACCTTCAACAGCTGGGCTCACGTAGAGCATTGTCTCCTCCACTGAGATTCATTCTGAAACAAGGATCCTCCTTCGAACTCCAGAGGCAAAACTTCCTGTAAGCATCTGGACTGTCCCCCTGTGTGACCCACGATGGAGAAAGATGACCCATGGCTTCCAGCCTCATTTACGGGAGAAAGTAGATTTGGAGGAAAGAGGAGCCCAAATGCAGAGATTCTTATAATTTTCAGCAAAGAGGAGCTTTGGAAACCGACTAGGAATTCGTGTTAGTAAATACAGTGAGTAAACGTGCAGACCATTTCTCAGAACAAAATGTGTGCATGGGGCTCTTTCATTCTGTGGATGCAGAGTGCCTCACGACATGAGGGCAAAGTGAACCATGGAGAATTATTATGAGCACTGACATCTGCCAGGGGAATGTTTCAACTTTCATCCAATCCTTTTCATTTTTTCTTTTTTTTCGGAGTTAACATCAGTATGATCATTTTTACTGTACAGATGAATGCATTCAGGTACAGACATTGTGGCTTTCAGGTCTGCCCCATGCATCTGCGCTGAAGCTGTGGGATACAGCGAACCTCTCAGCATTTCTAGATGAGCTTTCAGGCTAATTCACTTTGAACTGGCATCGTCTCCAAGTTGTGAGTCCATTGAAATAAAACAGGAGCTACGGCTGAACAATTCAAGTCATTGGCAGAAAGGGTGGTAGGTAAATGGCACTATGAAAAATGAAGAGCG